GTGCGTGATTGCCATGCCGCGACTCGTAAGATTAGCATTGGGTGATTATCACTAGGTGCAACTCGAGTACTCGTTACCGTTTAATACAATGGGACACAAGGCGGCGTAACAAAAAGGGTGGAAATATATTCCCGGCCAGTCCGCTCCGCGGGAAGGGTTTATGATTATGCTTTTTATCTCGAATTTCACCGTAGATTAGAATGCTTACAATAGCGATCTGTTCACCATGAATCGTAATTCACTGTGGCCCACTTTCCCCTAGGCCGTTTTTTTGGTAATGGCCTCGCGTATTTCAGGCGGAATTGCCGGCATTGTCGCACCGAGAGCGCGCTCGTAAGATAATTGGATTTTTCATTAATAAAAAAGCATATCGGCTGACACGGCGCGTGTAAGGCTCCGAGTCACTCGTACGATCGGTTTTACGGGACAAATCCGATAGCGCACTTGCAGATATGCAGCTGCAAAATCATCGGCTCGCGAGCGTGATTACGTACCGGGAAAAACTAAGTACTCCACCTAACGTTGCCGTCTCTCGGGCCCAGACAAGCAATTATTTCCAGAGAGAGAATTCCCGACAATTAAACGAACTCCCGGTGACGGATGTACCGATAGTCGGTGTTAATTATCGAGCGAGTTTTCCAGCTTGGGGAAGACTCCCGGATGAAGTGAAACCGGATGGAGTCGTGAAAGTAGTCCTTTTAGTAAGGAGTACCTCACTAAGAGGAGTCTGCTTTCATAGTTACCTTATTTTGTCGTTGATTTCCGCAGAATAATATAAACGGAATAAATGAATGATGGTTTTATGCTGTATCGTGTATATCATTTAAGTTGTTATCGGTTTCTTTCTTTAACGAAACGCGATCCGGGAACCGCGTCAGCCAATCGATCTTGGAACGCGAGGTAACGGCGCTAATTGAATGGGCAGTACTTTCGTTAATCCCGATTTCGAGGGCAAAACGAGCAGTTTAAAGAACGATTGCATTCTCTTTCAGAGACGCCAATCACTGGACCAAACACCCCGCGGGGTGTTTGCTCGTTCCGCGGAGTCCGAATAACGACGTCGCTACTTCTGCCCGTTGAATTAATGACCGGCAATCGGCCCTCCGTCAATTATTCGGGATTTTAATTAGTCCGACTATTTGCCGGAACATGCTCAATCCGCGGGATGGACGAGATGCAAACTCCGCTTCGAGCTGCTCGAGTTCCCGGGTTAATCCCCAAAATCACGCGGCTTTGACACCTGGTAATCGCATCCACGCCCATCTGCCTTAAATCCGCGAGTCTCATTGGGAATTTTCCCAAACAAGGAAATCCCTCGCGGCATATTACCTCGGCGTGTCAAAAAGTTCCTCAAGAATTGATTCTCTCGTTGCCCAACGTTTTGGATAAGCACGCCGAATTTTTTAGGGACTTTTCGAGCGTTTGTCAATTTTCAAAGGGTGGGTGGCGAAATGCGAAATGGGGGGCGCGAGGGTACCGAGGGGTCTTGGGGAAGAATCGAAAGAATCGTCGTTGGAACTTTGGAAAAAGAAGTTAAATGTCGGACATTGCCGCGCCAGTGGGGCAAGAAATGGGTTTACAGCCGACGAAGGAGGAGTCTTTAATGTTTACCGGCCGGAACCCGAGGTTGCCGGGTGCACGAAGGGAATTTACGCTCTCTAACTCGAAAGTATTTAAGCGAGGCCGATTTTGCCGAGTACGCGTCAATTACTTTTACTTCCTAAAATCGGTCGCGACGTGGCGAATCCCCGCCCGTCGCAATGTACCTGACGCACGGGGAATACGCACTAAACAATTTTTTTTTATCATTTTTAATAATTCCGCGCTAATGTAGAACACGTACATTTGTACAGAGCACGTACATTTCTACCGCGTAACATTTCTTTCCTTACGAGGGTGCTAAAAAGGTCGTTCTGGGGCTGCCGGTAAAAAGCGTCGGACGAGGGAAAGAAGGGGGAGAAAAAAATCGTAAGACCTCCATCAACGTTTCTTTACATTAACACGTTACACTTGGACGCGGTCCGTGCACTTTCCACGACCGGCGCGTTTTTCCCACTTTCCTCCATTCGAGTAGGAAAAGTGTCAGCCGTGGATACATCGAGGGAAACGGAGGAGGTCGCCTCGAGGGTGGGCCAAAATGGCGGAATCGTCGACCTACAATCCCACATGTCGAGTTAACGGTCGGAGACGGCTCGAGCCGGGCGCCCTGGACCGTTTAGACGGCACTTTGATCTGGGGGCCGAAGGCAACGTCGCGACGTCCTGCGTCGTCAAAGGAGCCGCGTCGCCCTTCGGCCATTGTCGGTACCATTGTACGCAAACTATATTACAACAGGAAGTGGTCGCGTCCTCCCTTCCGGTTGGCCGTAACTCACTGTCACGCGACCGGTACACAATACATTCTGTGTTACACCCCTTACATCCCCCACACCCCCGAGACCGTTTCCAGCCCAAACGCCCTGACGCTGCCCTGGACAATAATGGGGCCCCAAATCCAATGTCTTCCCCTTTGGCCCCCCCGCGAAGGATCCTGCCACTTCCGTCCGGGTTGTTCTTTATCTACTCCCCGTTTCCCTGGAATGGTTATGTTGAAATCGGGCGAATTACACTTTTGCGCATGCGGATGATAAGAGGCGTCGAGGTAATCGATCTCTATCGACCACTGCGATTTTAGGGGTAGAGCCTCTTTCCCAACATTCATTTCTTACGTTTTTTACCTTCCTGGTTTATACTCCCAGGATGCAAACGACGACAAAAAAAAATTGATAGATCCTCTTCCGCGTCATAGAAGGGGCAGTCGACCCCGCGTTTATTTATTATATATCAAAGTCAGCCCAAGGGAAGGACCCGAAGAGCAAGGCGACTTAGTTTCTGCCCGACCAGACGCGGGATCGGCTCAGAATCTTTATTATGAAAACTCAAAGGCGGGCTCGCAGAATATGGCGACAAGTACAAAGTGTCGCTGGAGGCGGTAGAAATGTCGCCTGCCTTGCTCACCCGGGAGACGTCTTTATATGAGACGCTCAAAGCCGCTGAGTCTCGGGCACCGTCTCCGGGAAATATGTAAATACGCAATAAAGTCCCTCGGCTTCGTTTAACCCCTAAGACGAGGCCGGGGATTTTACGCCGCTGAAAATGCCGTTCAAGATCCTGCGCTAGTCCTTTGGATTTGCATAGGAGGAAATTTGGGCCCGCCTAACGCGCCCACGAGGGGGTCTCCAAATCCGGAAGTTTACGAACCTCGAACCGTCCAGGTGGCACATCTACCGAGGGCACTTAACAATTTTCTATTTCCGACCCCCAAGTCGAGGGTGAAAGGTAAAAGCTTCGCGATTGAAGAGGTACCGCAACGATATGTGTTGCGCTGTGTTGCTCGGAAATTGGTCCTGTAAATCGGGTGCGGACTCCCACTGGAGGTTAATAAAATTTCCGTAATTTCTGGGAAATATCGGTAAGGGTGGTACGCGTTTGACAAACTGTTCGATGCCGGGACGATGTTTCCGGAGAAGGGTCGATCGAGACCAGAGTAAAGTCCACTTAACCGGCCTTAAATAATGAAGCAACTATCCACCTGGCCGCACTTAATAGCGTGCAACTCCTAGGGGTTAATTCATCCTCGTCGCTTGCGGGTAAAGCTTTAATCGCCACACCGAATTTCATGTAAATTAACCTCGAGGAATAGCGGGTGTGGCCAAACAGAAATATTCTCAAAGGCGAAAGTTTGCCTCGAAACACCGTAACCGGGGCGCTGGAATACCACTATTGGGTTTTAATTGTCCAACCATCTGAAAGCAATAATTACCCGGTAGAGAAGTTCCTAATGGAACGATTAGACAATCAAGCTGGAAAATCATTTTAACCAGTTTTCTCTCGTCATTTTCGTCAATCCACTACGGTGCCTTTCCTTGCAATACGGTACGCACTTGCACGTGAAGGTACCTCGATTCAGATTGCACCGAACCATGTGTCTGAAACTGCACCGATAGAGATTTTCCTTTCGTGTCTCAAAGAGCGTCACTCTATGAACGGATCACTGAGATGTATCTCTAGCCCTCCGGATGCAAGAAACTTAACCATGGATCCGCGCAACACGGCGTTCCGGATTTCCGAGTTCATTACCCATGGCACCGGTACGCTTGTCGCGCAGTACACACGCTAATGGTTTTATGTAGGTACGCGAAAACCCGCCGCGTAACCTCGGATATAATTCGGAGCGTCGAGGAGCACAACTCCCTCCGGCGGTTAACTTTGTTTTCCGCTTTCTTGCGTTCCTTTTTGAGCTTTCCTGTCGCCGCGCGAAAAGTGCAGCGGGCCGCGCGTCATGAAAGTTTGAGCGTCGCGACGCCGATGCTTGTTGCATGCCGAGGTACGGGACCATTACGCCAGGGGAAAAAACGGAATCCAAACGAGTGCCCATTAGATCTGACGTTTTTGCGACAAAGAGTCCTTTGTCGCAAAAACAAAAAGAGGAAACCAAAGAGGAAAAAAATAAAAGGAATCAACCGATGGAGTTCCTCCGAAGCGCTGCTTCTACTTCGCAGACCTTTCCGCGAAAGGAATCGTCCCCTTAAAGAGGAGAACTTTCCGGAGATCCTTCGCCGGATTCATGGGTCCTGGAAACCCGTCGGGATTTCCTTCCTTTCTGTCTCCGAGAGACATTCGCCGGATATCCGTCCAATGACGCGGGGCGTTACGCAAGGGTGCAAACCAGGGTCCGGTCATCCCGCGACTCGGAGCTTCTTTCGAATCCTGGAGGAAGTAGTGGAAGCGATTGAAGGGAATTTCGTTTTCTCGAAATGGCTCGCCTAGGGATCCGCCAAGGAATTGGACTTTCTCGTTCAGCTCCGGAGACTTCCCCTCGTTTCGCTTCCTTCCGGAGCCATCTCGATCTATACATGACGGCACTCCGATCTCGCTCTTATCAAGTGTCCATATTAAAAGCTTCTAGACTAGCTGGATAACCATTGAAGCAGCTTTTAACGATCATCCTTTCTCTTCCAGTTCCATTGGTCAACGTCAGCGCGGTGGAGGGCGCAACCGTCGAACTACCCTGTGACATCTCCTCGGGTAGGAACGACACGCTCTCCATGGTTTTCTGGTTCAAGGACGAGGCGGGTGCATCGCTCTACACGTAAGCCCACTTTTCTTCAACTACCCATCGATACACACCGTCTTTCAAGGATTAAACCCCCCTGGGAAGAGAAATTAGTAGAACGAACAATAGAGGCTTTACAGCCCCGTAACGTTAACCCTTCCGCACGTCCACCGAAGACCTACCCTTGTATCCCGAAGAGTCCTTCGCCCAAGACAGGTGCCCTATTTAAAATTCATGATTTCAATCAAATTTCAATCCTCCAATTATGCCCCGGGTATATAATCTCCACGGGGGAAGAAACGATATTCCGCGGAATAAAGAGACACTCGTTCCAGCGTTACCCTGAAAAGTAATTAACGAATTAAACGATCCGTTCGTACTAATGGCTGGCGCGGCGCTCTGCAAGTTAAATGAGAGCCGGTAAACGTTTCTTAAATTCAAATTTAGACTCGATATGTATGCTTCTTAACGAGATACCCGCTCGAGGCGGTCATTTAATTCCGGGGTATCTCATAGCCCGTTACGCGTTCGTTTTTCCCGAATTACTGCCGGCGGAGGGTTGCCAAATAATTAGCGCTCGGTGTTTCGAGTTTCGCTCTCGGAGAGGATGGGAGAGGCGGCTAGTGCCTCCTGGAATCCTCGGGGTTGCACCGTGATGCACGGTAAAATCCATCGGTAACTCCCAAAAAGCCGTTTGTCCCCCGTCGGGAGAAACTGGGGACCAGGAACTGGACGATATTAAACGTCACCGCGTGCTCTCGTCGCTACTTGCACTTCCGCCATGAAATTCCTTTATGCATTCCACCCCTGTGGGTCTTGTCACCGGGACCGGAACCGGAAGCGGCCGAGGCGAGATGCGAAATTCTATCGCCACGTCCGGTCGGCGCCGAACGAATTCGGAAGTCGGTAACCGTTTGTCGGCATTCTCTGGATTTAATTAATTGCCCGCCGAGCTAATTCAACGTTTCATTCCCGTTGAGCTTAAACAATTAATTTGCAAGCGTCAAGGAGAAGCGATAATCAACCCTTCATTCGAGGTCCTTTTAATCGGACATCCATACACCGCTCGGAAGAGAATTAATTAATCGATTTAATTACTGTAATTTCTTTCAAGCGTAAATAGATAATGAAGACATGCATTTATTTTTCATCTAGCTGTTTTATTCATAGATTTGAATATTTTTACACGAATTCGCGCGTGGAAATGGTGTTCTAGTCCCAGAATACATTTGCCTGGTTTGCATATCGAGTGCCGCTGTTCCCGACTTTGTTCGCGATAGTGCTCGAAGTACCGATACATTGATATCAGCAAGGTAATGAGTTCGGGCCGCCATTAATGATGCAAGATAATTGATAACGAACAACGTGGGTTAACGAAAGAGTCATATCTCCGGTATCGGATCTCGATTTGTAATCGATAATGCCGGCGACTCTTTCATTACCGCATCGATCGCTGCGACGCGATGGAAGGATTTCCCGCAATGGTGGGCGCGTCTTTGCGATATTTTCCAATTTTTTTGTTTTTTTTTTCTCCTCCCTCGATATCGCTTCGTGTGCCTGGTCCCTTTCCGTCTTCCCACTGTAATTTGCAATCGGCGAACTTTCGCAATTAAACTTCCGGGCCGACGGCAGAGCTTCCGAGCGATACCGGAGGTGTCGCTGGTGGAGGTCCAGGTGGGGCAGAGGGGTGTCGCGTTCGAGGGTTGTTCGGTAGTTTTCCCGGGGCGAAAATCGGGAAAATCGGGAAAATCGCGAAACACTCGGGTCGCGCGTACGAGCGGCTTTTGTTCGCCGACTCGTTCGCTTTTTTACGGGTTTACACGCACGAAAACCGCAGAGAGAGAGAAGCGGGGCGATAAAGCACCAACACGCGCGAGGCGACGTTACGACTCTGGAATCTTTCGAATTCAATTACTCCGTTTTGCCAGTCCCTTTCTTTCCTCTCTGTCGATAACACCCCCAGCGAGAAAATAAGGTCCCAAACGTAGGGCAGAAATTTCCCAAGCAACACAGTCCACGGTTACGATGTAACCATTGCTCGTGGCTTTGCAAAGCGTAACGCAACATAGGTTCCACATGTAGGTACAATTTACGTTACTATTACTGTAATGTGCGTACGTGAAAATATGCTCGTGGGAAGTTAAAAATAAAGGGTGCGAAAGGGAGCAGCGGTTTCTTTTTTTTTTGTTTTTTTTCCCCGAGGGAAATGCATCCCGACGACAACGATGACGTTTCGACGAGGTGAATGAAAAATCCGAGTGGGCAGATTCTCGCACCCTCGGGCGTCAAATGGAGCCCGAGGCTGAGCTACGAACAGGCATGTGGCATGTAATTATGGCGTGTCAATAAATTTCAATCGGGCGTCCGCTCGATGTTTCCGAGATTCGCGGAGCCAGCTTTATCGGGGGATAATTGATAACCGCTCGGCGAGCCTGCCTTGCCGCATTATCGACGAGGAGTGTCTCGGCCGGCGAAGGTAGTCTCCTGGGAAACTGTCGTCCATGCTGAATATTCCCGCTTTATTAAAGGAAATAATTAAAGGTGTTCGCCCGATCGTCCTCCGCTTTTTCCCCGCACCTCTCTCTCTCTCGCACCTCCTTCCGGATAATGAACTTACCACGGCTCTCGATTGCAGACGAATTTTAATCGATATCAATTTCAGCCCTTCCTCCCTTTGAGCCGCCGCCATTTCTGCCGGATCCCTTATTACCATTTTATATTCGAACGGGCCCCCTGCGGAAAGTTTGTCCAATCATCCCGCACGTCTCCCTCGGACGGGGAACTTCTCGGGAAGTACTCCACTCCCTCGACGATCACTTATACATGTATATCGGAGAAAGATCTTAAACAAGAACTGGCGAATCTTTCGCAGAAGGGCCCTTTTGCGAAGGTTCGAACCCCCGACGGGAGTTCAATGAAATATATTTATCCCGAGAAAGGGTTTCGCGTAATTCCACTCCGGCGGGTATTCCCCCAACTTCGACACCTCGGCGGTCTCATTAGCCGGGGAAATATCCGAATACGGGGAACACGTGAAGGTGTTGCGTGCAGGAGAAGGATCCCTAATTATAACATACCATGCGAAGGAAGGGGCACCCTGGCTATGCCACGAAACCCGCCTCTTCTACTCCCTACACCGACACATCGCATTCTATCGTCTCGTGTTATCAAACATTTATACCACGGCGTGCAACGCGCGATCTTCGCACACGCATGCACGCGCGTGTACCCCCGGCTCGCTCGAGTGCCCTAAACACGCCGCCGTCCGGGCAGAAGGGGTGCACGCATGTAATTGCGTGCAATTTTACACCCGAGTGCTCCCTACATGACACGGGGACACGGAAACTCGATAACAATTACAAGGCCGAATTTTACAGGTCATTTGAAAACGAGATTACTCCGCGTGGTAAATCACTCAAAGCCGGGTATGGATTTCGAAAGAGCCGATCGTATCGGAGGCGAATCCGTTGTTACGATATCTTGCATAATTATTTAACGCTACAGACCAAATTGCCATAAAATGAAATGTTTACAATCTAACGTTAATTGGGAAACTGGTCGCCGGTCCTTCGTGATTACGGATATTGTTTCGTCGGATTACTCATTTGGCTCCATTCCGTGGAAAACTCCTGAAGATAAGGGTGGACGAATTTTCCCCCTTTTAGAGCCTTCAATTTTATGCGCGACATACGGGGATATGGTGGTAACGTTAATATTTTACGTTTATTACTTTAACTGGAGTTTTACGACGCTCTTAGACCAGAAGTCGCGGTCCTCCATTTTTCCGAGGAAAATGATCCCCAAGAGGCGGAAACCGAATCCAATGTGTTATTAATTTCCCATAAACTCCACCATGTGGAGGAACTAAGGAATCGACGATTTTTCTTTAAATTTCATTTTTTATCATTTTCTTTAATTACCCACGTGGTGGCTTTTGTCTCTCGTCGTGCCACGTTGCGGATGGGCGCGGCGATAATTTCCAAGTTTACTCCTTTTTTTCTTCGTTTTATGGACAATAAAGGGAGTTGATGGGGTCGCGGGGTTCCGCGGATCCCCCCGTCGTTTCTTCGGGCCGACGCCTTCGTCGCGACGCCCGGATCCAGGAGGAACGCCGTCGTTGGCAGGTTTGCGATAACACCGACATGACATTACCAAGGCTGACTGGCGAATCCGCATGAAATATAATCGAACGATCCCATAAATTTGACGGCGCTCTTTTAGACGCTTCCTTTCTTGGCCCCTGCCCCTCACCCAGCGTCCCGACGCCGAGCAAAGCCGTAATAAGGACGACGCGCGATAAACTCGGAGTCCTGGGACTAAAAGGGAGCGGGTTAGGGATTTTATTTAACTGCGGAAATTCCAGTTAGGCCTGCGGTTTGGTGGAGGAGTCGGAACGCGATAACGAAATTTGCCACTCGATCTTTACCTTTATCTCTCTTCCCTTTTACAATATCTTATATGAAACGACGTCTGAAATCATTGCAACGTTTCTCCATTTCAGTGTATGAGAAAAATAAGCAGTACCAAACGCGTAAGGGCATTTTGCATGAAGAATAATAAGAAATAACGGACAATATTTAGTATTTCTCTTCGACTCGGAAGTTTCACTTCTAACGTCGCGTCGATGTCTTCCGGGATATCTTTTGAATGATTCGTCATTAGAATGAGAAAATTGAGACGGTCGCTACTTTTCTGGAGGATCGGGGAAAAAAATGGCAAGATGAGCGTTTGCACGCTCTTGCCGGAAGAGGCGAAGTGCAACGAGGCGAAGAGGTCGGCAAACGACGGAAGAGTTCCCCCAGGGGTGGCTTTCTCCCGAGGGAGGACGGAGAAAACCGCGCCGGCCGGCAGGGTGGCCTCTTCGGGGATTGTCGAGGTCAGGGCTGGATTACGGGGTGAAATTGTCCCAGGGGCCCCGGAAGCCGCGGGGTTAACTCCCTTGCATGCCCTCGGGGTTGATCTCGGACTCGGGGTTGGCACCACGTGATGTATGGCTTTGCTTTTATTTGTCTCCGAAAACCCTCCCCCGAGGCACG